ACAGGTTCTTTTCCATCCTCCTCTTAAGAATATCCTTTTAAAAACATGCATAAAAGCACAATAAATACTTAGTTCATTGCCAGAAGCATATTAAAAACCAAGAAACAGACAAGCCTGCCTCTCAAATGGAGGTGGGGTTGCAGGAAGTCATTTCACAATACCAGCTGAGCAGTTCTTGCCGAGCCCTGATTGTCCTTCCCTTCCAGTTCACAGAAAAGATCCACATTTACCCCAACACTGTAAGGCTCTGCCTGTGATGCCACGAGCAATTTCCCTTGATTTCTGAACTTCCTCTGACTTCACTTACATCCATCGCTCCTCCAGTATTCTCATTTCTCGGGTGCTTAACTTTGCACACTTAGCTAGATCAAGAATGACTCTGATATTCTTGTTTCTCAAGATCTTATCATTAGAGGGTATAACTGCAGCTGCTAGTTTTAATTGATCATAGTTTTTAAATAATTTAAATCCCTATTTTTTATATTTATAAAGTGCAAACAAAATGAATTTTAAAAGAAGACTTCAGGCTGTATCAATCAAGCAAAAAAGTACACAGCCTTCTGGAATAAAATTTACATTTGTTGAAGGAACAATGTTTAAATCTAGATGGCTTACAGAGGTACATATGGAACTTCTCACATTTAGGTCACAAGTTCAAACATGTTCTTCATTAGCTGCAAATTAAAACTATCAATAACTGACATCTGTTACATAGCCAATATGGAATGAGCTGTTTTCTGAAGTGGATAGCTCAGAATATAATAGGTGAACTTGTTTCTAAATGCACTCTAAACATGCACATTTAAAGATGTTTGTTCTCAAAAATGAATGATCTTATCTCTCAGAAAGAGGTCAGTAGTACCTGTCGCCCAGAAAACTCAGTTTTTCAATCTTGTTGACACAGTTTCTAAAAATTTACCAGGACAGTGACGGTAAACATAGATATGTATACATTCTTTCTGATACACATCTTTTGATGGACATCTCTCACAGCCAGTGCGGTTGGAAAGGTGTTAACCTGACTATCCAATCCCTGGCCATGGTCAGAAACTTACAAATACTGAGAAAAGAAAATAAAGCTCTTTTTTCTTTCACCACACCTCGAGCTGCATCTGTGTGACTCATTTCGTGTCCAGCAGCAACAGTACCAACCTCTACAACTTGGAAAAACACATTTATTACTTTGGTAATTGCAATAAGTAATAAAATACTGATGTTAAGAGCTCTGTTGTACCTGCAACCTACTACTTTCTCAATGAAGTCAGAGTTTTCAATTACAGTTATTTGCATAGATGCTGATGCTGATCTCTCAGTAGAGGTGAAGCTGACTGGTAACACAGAGTGGAAAAGCCCCTTGCCTGCACTAGGCATTTTCAATAGACCTTGGTCACAAGTCAGATCACTGTACAGTCCTGAAATGGCATTGTGTGCATTAGAGCCTACTGTGCCTTAACATACCACTTTCGAAAACATCCCAAGAATGTTTATGAAAGTGTCTATGCAAGTGTAGACCACACTGAGCTAGTTCACAAAATTTGGGTTGTTCTCCAGAAGTTTGTCAAATTAATCACATGAAACAAGCTGAACATTTGAAAAATATGAGAATAAGATTCAGAAAAGGCAAAAAATTTTCATATGGTGATTAGGTGTCTAGGTTGTTTTCAGTATGTAAAACAGTCAGCTGATCTGTCTGCAACTCGGTGACCCAAGACAGAGTTGCAGTAGTAAGTGTGTGATCTTCTGTATAATCCTTCTTCCACAAAAGCTTTTTGGATTCCTTAAAGATATTATGAAACAGTAAATTTTGTCACAATTGATTATAATGTAGCAAAACTTATTTTAGTCACACTATTCTGTTCTAGGTTTATGTAACTGGAGGCACCTTTTGGAAAACGATTGAAATAAAGACTCAGTTACTTCCACCTGGGCATGCTGAAGATCATATAACAGCTCCCTTTCTTTCATGCAGGAACTTTATGAAAGAAAAGAACAGCACTGAATATGCAGCATGTTCTGCCAAAGCTGGAAATTATTACTGATGTAAATAACACTGCAGCATCTTCTTTCCACTGGATATGTAGCGTACTCGAATGTGTGTCTTCGTACACTTCGTACAAACATCGGCAAAGGCGCCACAAAGAATGATATAATCCTAAACTCCAAGGCGCCACAAAGAATGATATAATCCTAAACTCCAGGATTGAAGTATGTCAGCAGAAATTGATAAATAAGGCTATTCTTTAATAAAAAAAATATAAAAAGAGAGATTAATGTGTTTGCTAAATGTGCTCACACAGCGAATACACAAATGGAGTCCCTTTTGTGGACAAAAATCATATTTTAGCTGGATATAAAATTTTGCTGCAGAAAAGAAAATACTTTGATGGAAGCAATGGCATTCTACTAAATAGCATGCATTCAGGGCAGATTTTCAAAGACAGGGCACTTAGATACATCAGTTAGGTGCCTCATGGATCTTCATGCCTTTGAAAAACAATCCTCTCTTGTTCTGTTAGGATTTTCTTAATGTGGAATTTCTCTTCTTTTATGACTCATCTCTATCATGTCTTTGCTGTAAATAAAACATATTCTTGGCTTTATAAATATGTTGATAGGCAGCACAGAAAACATTAATCATTGTAAAGCTGAAGGATACTTAGCAAAAGTGAAGTGCATGAATTGAGAAATGTTGATTTAAATAGTATCCAACATCTACAAAAAACTTTTAATCAATCTCACTATTTTCATACCAGAAAGGCCATTTTATCATACAGAAAAAATAATAAAATTTATATTTTTCTTGTCTAAAAAAAAAAAAAAAGGCAATGAAACAAAGATATTTAAAAACATATTATTTAAAACGAACATTAAGAAGTTATAGAACACATTCCATTGACAAAGATAGAGTACTGCTTTTTTCATAATGATACCCATTTTTCATAAAAATAAGAAAATGCTTAAATACTGGTACATATACCTAGTGGGAGCAATTTTCATATGTAGATATATAAAGATAGATGCTTACATATGAATCAGAATTTAATTTTTTTATTGGTGAAAATTTGAGACCGAGTCATTATTCTATGTAGTCCTTAGCAAAATTGGTGTTCACTTCAGAATGGCTGTGGTGGCCCCAGTCCTGTTTAAATGCTAAATAGAATGGCAGTTTTACATGTACTGCTGAATGCTAAATCATTCCTGTAGCAATGAAAAGACAAAAGTAATGGGATTTCATTTTAAAACTTTCCACCTTCAGATTCAAAGGAAGTCAAACTACTTCTTTTTTATGTTATTAAAAACAAAATTAAAAATCAAAATTAGATAAATGGAATATTAATAGCAAATGAATGTAAATGGAAGTGACTGGTTTTGTTGTACTAGAAGAAGAAATTGCTCAAAATTGCTCTTGTAAAAATGTTCTATTTAATACTTTAAATTCTTGAGAACTGCTTAACTATTATTGATCATTACATCAAATTTTTGCTGGCTGTTTTTCATTCTTGGTTGTACTGGTACCCATAAATATGAATTGTACAATTCCACTTTTTTGTCTGCAGCATTCAGCTTCAACACTCTAAGTGAAAAACTGCCCTTAAATACATAATTTCAATGGATTTAATATACTCATTATCACCACATTTTATTTTAAGTGTATTTAATCTTAATCAAGGACTTTTTTTAGATCAGTACTATTACATTAATATTATTTCACTTAGCAGGAAAACTTGAGACACAAAAAAAAGTTCAGTCAGTTTGATGAGACCTATGTGTCATTAAGATGTTTGGGAATTAACTACATTTCTCTCTTTTTAGTCTTCATTACCAAAACCCAGGCTAGTAATTTTCTACTTTTTTTCCCAGTCTTACTGAATACAGAGAGAAGCTCTATGCCTGATAATACGCAGCGTGTATGGCAGTCAGGAAGAGGAAACTTTTCAGTTTTGAGTTAGTGATTAAGGCAGAATTTTAGGATTATCTTTTAAGTGACATGAAATCTAATTTTTTTATATTTGACAAAAATACTACTCTAACTCTGCCTGTGCGGTGTCTGTGATGTGAAGTCTGCAGTGCCTTCTTGAGCTTGCACTTGTCTAGCTGGGAGGAGGGCACCCTTCAGGAGATGTGGTTAACTTAACTTCCTGCCCTATCCATACTTTGTGTAATCAAATCCGAGACTCATCAGCAGGGCTGTAATTTTAGACTGCTGGGTGTGATTTGATTTGTCAAATATATTTCAATTGGTCAAATCCACAAACATCTCTTCATCCTCCTCTTCAGGTAGTATGTCCCAGACCTTCCCTTGCACTAAACCTGAAGATTACATGGCTGCAGGGGAGAATCAGCTCCCTGATTCATACTCAGGGCCTGCCAGAGAAGGAGGTGGGATAGTTTTCCAACAGTTCAACAAACTGATCCAGCTCATGATGATGTATTTTCTAGGTCCAATACAATGCTGAGAGGAAAAAGGCAGGTGCAGGACCACTGTGCCTCAAGAGTCCAGTCACACCAGGTGGGTGTGAGCTAAAACCACATCCTTAGTGCATGAAACCCTGCTTTACTGATATTACACTGTGAATAGGTAAGACAGCCAGAGGATGAGTGAAAGGCTTTGTGCTTTGACCAAAATTCAGTAGGACTGAGGCAGCAGCAGACAACATTTCAAAGTATTTTTTTCAGCTGACTGTTGTTCTACTTCTTGAACTTATCTTCTGTTAAGAGCTCTAAAATATTTACGAGAAAAATCCTATAAAGATTCTAGAAGGAACCTCATTCATAAATATCAAAATAATTACTCTAGATGGCTCACTTTATGCCAGAGGAAGACACTTCTGGGAATGCTCAGTGATTTCAGATTTTCCAGTCTACTTGTGGAGCTATGCTAAGTGGCTGATCTTTGACAAAAATGGATTAATTTCAGTGAAATTACAGTAATTGGTACTACCAATTTCTAGTCTGTTTCTAGCCAATCATTTACTAATTGCTCACTGGTGCAACAGAAAGTGAAAGTATGCCTCGCCATGAAAACTTTCAGGTTACCGTCACATAAGATAATCACTATGGTGACTTTATTTCTCTGTGGTAAGTCATACTGCTTTACATATCACTACCCTGGGAGTAACTAGATTCTTTCATACCATATTGTGATTATTTATATGCAGAGAGTTCTCACCAGCTCTCTAAGGACCTCCTTCATATCAAAGTTTAATTTGTATATGATAATTCACCATTAGGTCTCTTAGCAAGATTGCCCTAAGCAAATAGGCAATGCATCTGAAAAGGGTCATTTTTCTCTGAGAAATTTAATAGAGCATTACTTACAATTTAACATTCATCTGATAATCAAAACATATTTCATTCTACTTATTTTTAGATATCATTAATTCAAAGGAGAAACTTGGACGCTTTCTGCAGTCTGTAACTCTCTTACGCAGATTCAAAAGACAAAAGCTGAATTGTCTGCTTCCAAGGAAAAACTGCTGGAGGCACTTCTTTTGTTTTTCTAATGAACGCCATATGAAAACAGGCATAGAATAACTATTTACTTACACATAGTGGTCTGCTAGGGTCTCTTACATGGTCTACTTTCCTCATCATGACACTGGTCAGTCTATTTACAAGACTATTTTCTTTTTCCCTATTTTTTTTTGCTATGCAGCAATTTGTTTATTTTGACCTGAATTTTTAATAATGCTGCTCTAAGTAAGGGTGAATGATACTATTGTATACAGTTTACCAGATTTGAACACATCAAAGAGCAATAATATTTAATAGTTTTAAATGTTACAGAGTCAGTCTTACTCATTTCCTTATTTCAAAGTTCAGATTTACTGTTCAATAACACCACAACTTTTATTGTTCCTCATCCTAGTAGTTTCTCATTGTTCTGGTTAAGGATGATTTGGAGGGCATGTTGGAAGAGGAATGGATGTTTTTATAGGCTTTCCGGTACTAAACATTGATGGCTGAATGTGGTTTTGGTGATCAGATATAATGATTTACATATTTGCTTTCCAGCCCAGCATTTTCTGCTGCATCAGTTCCATACCAGGCAGTTTGTGTGTTTTCCTGAGTTTATTGACATAACAGCACCAGCCACGTTGTGAAATCTTTTGGAGCTTGGCCTCCACTCTTCTGCTGCTGAGCAGAGATAAACAGTAGCTATAAACAGTAGCTGTATGCTAGGATACTGTTAGATTGGGTTTTTATCCCTTCACCTGTGTATGCTGATGCACACAATGAGGTGATACAGCACTCTAAAGAACAGCATTTCTTTGCAAACACAGTACATGTACAGATATATATATATATTTCTCTGTACAAGTTATTTTCTTCTTAATGCATCCCTAATTTTCATATAGAAAAATACCTGATCTACTCATTTTAGTAACTTTTTTTTTTTAATGAAGAGTAACTTTTCAAAAACTTTCGGCACATAAGATAGTTCCCTATATTAAAATTTACTTGAGAAATAAGAATACACAGTGCAGGACAGATAGGCTGAACAAAAGCAAAAGTATAGAATATGACTTGCAATTTTCCAGTTTCTTTGAAAGTTTCAGAACTAACCACTACTAAAGATATATAGCATTCATTCTGTGAAGAATGACCTGTAGAAAACGTGCATCAAAAGCCAATGAAGTGAGGCAATGATTTATGTGCATCCCAGTAACAAAAGTGACTTTCAAAGGTAAGAGAGGTGTTCTGAAAAAATTATTTCCCCTGATTGGAAAAAAAACCACAACTTTATATTGAACCCATTATATTAAAGTGAAATGGATAACAAATAGATCTAAAAGTGATTGCATAAATATTCAGTTCAAAGAAATCATAGGTCACTGGTATGATCTGATGTGGTCAAAGGCTTTATTCTTGTGAAAAGCTTGATAATTAAAAACATAGTTTGAATGGGATAAATAGGCTACAGTTTTTCTCAACTATAAATTGAGTTAAATACTTAATTTCTGTTAAATAAAAAATACTGAGACACATCTAACACTATGAAATAAGAAATAGCATTTACATTGTTGGAAGAACACTGGCAGAAAAAACATTACACGAAGAGTTATTTGAAGTGCTTCTTCTCCCTACTTATACCTATTCTGTCTAAGACTGTAACTAATGGTGTGACATCTGGCAACCATATTACCTCAGGCTGTGACCTTGTCAGTTCTTACAAAACTGTGAGAAAAGTTTCACAGTGTAGACCAAATCAGATTTGGATTTTTTTTTTAACTGTCTAGAAGCAAAGAATCAAATATAGATACAAGCTACTCAGCACTTTCATTTCAAAATAGTTATACCTGCTTTCCTCACAACAGATTCTTTCAAGAGTTGCAGTTAGGTCTTTTGTAGGCAAAGAAATTGAGTGGTTGGCAGCTTTTGGTGCAGAGCAGTTCCTAAATCTTTACAGGAAATCTACTTTATTCCTAATTAATTTATGTCATCCATCTTAAAGAAATGAAAAAGAGAGCTGATTCTGCAAAACCGTAAAATATTATCATGAAAATTTGTAGACAGAAACTTTGCAAAGTTGTGTGTTTTTCCCATCTGTTTGAAAAGGATGCTGTTTTTGTTACAAAAGTGGTAATATTAAGAATTTAAATGCATTGGTACCTAACCATGTTCAAAATCATATTTTTAGTAATAATCATAAATATTTTCTTTTCCACCTGCTGTCAAGATAGTAATGAAAAGAAGATAAACCGACATCTTCAGTCTGCTTTCTGGCAGAGGTCATTTTCTGTTAGATGATGCTGTTGGAGAGTGAGTTTTCTTTGTTCAGTCCCTGAGGAGTTTGCCACAGTATTTTCACATTGCACGGCAATGATCACTGCAGAGCAGTTTTTAGTTTCAGAGACCATGACTTTGCATTAAGCACTGTGGGGAGCAGCATCTGGAGAAAGCCCATCAGTGTAAAAAGGAAAGTTAGGAGGAACAGTAGCATCAGACACAAGTACAAAATCAGTGGTGCCACAGAACAGAGAAGTCTTGGCTGAGTTGGTAATCTCCAGTTACCCAGAGGCCATTTGCTTTCTCTGTTCATCCGCTGGTTATTTTGTAGTTTTGGGTTGTTTTGGTTTGGTTTTCTTTTTTTTTTTTTAAGAGAACTTCTCATGGCTTCTTCAAAATTTCCAGAGAAAATTGCTCTTTTGCTGAAGAAGCTTTCTTTCTTTTTCACCCCACTGATGAAGTGCCTGAGGCACCAAATGAGGATACAGCTTTGGAAGAATTTCAAGACGGGAACCGTCAGTCATACAGGAGAAATCCTGTACCTCTATACTTGCTCCAGTGTTGAGAACACAGCACCATGCCTTTTCCTTCTGAAAATTTGTATAAGTTATGACTGTCTGTACTATGTTTGTCCTTCATCAAAGCCATCTAAATGTTTAATCCTTCTACTCACATCTTCACCAATTTTATTGAAAATTGCTGCCACACACTGATACTTTCAGTACTCTTGTGTTTTTTTTAATATAAATTAGGTGAGACTAAACACTGAAACGAATAAAGCAATTCCCTCTGTTTCTTAGGATCACATATAAAGGAAAGATAGGTCTTGAACAGAATTTGCAATTCTCCATATTGAGAAAACCCAGTTTCATCCATTTTGGTAATAACTTTAATGTTTGGAAGCTACCAAAACGCTTCCTGCATTTTTTGATATCTAACATCCCATTTAAGCTCTGCTTGCTATTTTTGCTGTAATCATAGGACTGGGTTAAGAAGCTGTACACATAATGAAATATGCAAGTTACTGAAATAATGTTAATATTTTGAAAATATATACCACTTTCAGGTAATGCAAAAAACATCAGAAATATGTGTACCTGGAAACCGAATATTTCCTCAGAAGACATGTATCTTAGCAAAGAAATTACCTTATATCTAGTAACTCTAATCCATTCCTGGTTTAGGAATCCCATCATCCCAATATCTATGGGATGATTGTACAAGATATGCAGAGAAGTCTAGCACTGAGGTACTCCAAAGGAAAACTACAATGGCAAAGTAATAACCAGCATTCCTGCAAGAAATAGTTCTTAAATGAAAGTTAATCACATGAATTACTGTGGATACAGACTTCTCTGACTGCCTGTGGTGACTTCACCTTGGCAGGCTGCTGGGTATCTCCTCACTCCCTCTCCTGGAGAGGACAGGAAGAGAGAATTACATGGAAAAGTTTATGGGCTTGGGTAAATACAGAGAGATTGCTTACCAATAATTACTATGAGCAAAACAGAAACAACTTGGTTATTACTGCTTTATTTTTATTACCCTATAAGACTAGAGTAGAATTGTGAGAAACAAAATGGAAAACGTCCGTGTAGAAAGTAACTTATATAAGGTAGGCTGAGGGCAGAGTTTGAGGGCAAGGAATCAATAAGAACTGGGGATTAGGAATATGTAAAATAATGCCCCAAATTCTAACCAATAACATAGAAATCCTAGAATATTTTAGCAACATTTACCTACAGCTATTCAGGAGGCAGTGTGGGTAATATTTTGCTCTTCATGACTGAGGGGATTTTTCCCATGGCCTTAATGCAAAGTTTTCATCAACCCCCCCAACACATACCCCTCCCCCTTTCTTCCCAGGTTCAACTCCTTGAGTCGTCATTCTTCCCCTCTTGTCAGAGGGGAGGGAGGTCAGTCCATAGCAGCTCCTCTGCTGCCCCTCCTTCCTCCCACTCTTTCCTATTCCAGCATGGGGACCCTTCCATCTGACATAGTCCTTCAGGAACTATGGCAACATAGGTCCTCTCCACAGAATACAATCTTCAGGAAGATATTGCTCTGGCATGAGTGCCCCACCCCAGGCTACAGCTCCTGCTAGGAGAACCCTGTGTGGGTTCTCTCAGCATCCTTCAGGGCATGGCTGTCTTCTGAAGGGGGAGATCAACCATGGGCTGCAGGATGACAATCTGCATCATCATGGTCTTCTTGGACTGCAGGGAACCTCTGACCTGGCATTGGGGCACCTCTTCCCCCTCTTTTCTGGCCTGGTTGTCTGCAGGGCTGGCTCTCTCACATTTTCTCTTGTCTCTCTCACAGGTGCTGTACAGCATCTTTAACCTTTC